GTATTGTAAAATAATTTTTTTATGTGTTTCACACCGTGTGTAAAATCAGTTGTGTAACATCAACGGTTCCTCCTGTTTTTATTTACTCGTTCAAGAGAAAATTTGATGCTTGAAAACTAATATAAATTCACGTGCCAAGAAATATAAATACATTACATTATTAAAGTAATTAAATTGACGAATTTTTTTTTATAAATAAAGCATATCTTTTTTTTTTTTTTTTTTACCTTTGAAAATTTATAATAAATTTCAATTAATAATTTCAACCATGAATATAAAAATTTTTCGATTAATTACATTCCTTGTAATTATAATATCATCACTTTGCGTCATTGTAAATTCTTCAACTTATAATCCAGGATTCAGAAAAATTAATTTAAGAAAAGTCTACACATCAGAAATAGATTCTGAATTATTATCTTTAGTAAAGCGTGATCCTCAAGGAACTGTAAATTTAGTAAATCAAAATGATAGGCGTTATGTTGGCTCAGTATTAGTTGGCGGTCAAAATTTTACCATTTTATTTGATACTGGGTCTTCCAATCTTTGGGTTCCAAGTGTTTACTGTACCGACTCCGCATGTACAGGTGGTAATATGTATGATCCTGCAAAATCTACCACATATAAAATGCTTCCAGCTCCAAATAATTTTACTGTTAATTTCGGTGATGGTTCACAGATCCAAGGATATAAAGCTACAGATACTGTCAAACTTGGTGGTCTCTCTATTACACAAACTATTGGTGTAGTAACGAATTTTGGTTCTACGTCTTATAAAGGTGGCGGTGTTATGGGCTTGAAATTTATTCCAGATATGCAATTTAATACCCCTAATATAATACAAACTATGAAAGCGCAAAATGTATTAAATAAAGCTTTGATCAGTATACGCTTTAGTCCAAGCAGCTCAAGCTATCTAACACTTGGTGACGTTCCAAATGAATATTCGAAAAGTATTTCGTATAATAAAGTGGTGGATAATAATACATGGACTATTGCAATAAGTGATATTCAAGTCGATGGAAGTTCTCTCGGACTTAAATCAAATGCTTTAGTTGACACTGGTTAGAATTTTTATTTTTATTTTTTCATGTTCATTCAATTTTTAAAACATCTAAACCTTTCTTTTAATTTTTTATTTTATTAAAAAAAAATAGGTGCCTCCCTTATTTATGGAGATTCTAATCAAGTTTCCACCATCCATGGAAAAATTAGTGGCGCTATCCTTTCCAATAATATATGGTGGATTCCTTGTAACACTAAATCTAAAGTCTCTTTAGTATTTAATGGTGTACCTTATGAAATTGATTCTAGTCAATTGATAAAAACAAAAAATAACACAACAGGACTATGTAGGTCAGGTATACAACCACAACCTGCAACTGGTCTCTCTTGGTCTCTCGGTGATGTATTTTTAACAAACGTTCTTGCTGTATTTGATTATGATAATTTACAAATTGGTCTTGCTTCACCTGTGGCTACGGTAGGCTGATCTTAATTTCTAAGTTTTTAAGTATTATTTTTCTTTAAAATGAATTGTAATTAATTATTAATACATTATTAGGAATCTGGAACTCCTGGAAGCGGAAGCGGAAATGGAAATGGGAATGGAAATGATAAACTTAAAAAATCTGACGCAAATAAAAATAGTTTAAGCCTGTTATTCTTTATTATTCATAATTTTATTATTGTCTCATTCATACTGCACTAATACCAAAAGAGTCTTTACCTCTTCACAATACTAATCATATGTTATTACATAAAATTTTGATTGTTATTGGAATCACTATCATATACGGGACAGTTGGACATATTGAGGGTTTAAAAAATGGCATTAACTCCAAATTTCATTTACAAAAAATTCTTTAAAATTTAATTTACATGTATTTTATTATTACTTTAATATAACATTTCAAATTAAAAGTTGAGAATTAATGGGACAATGTTGAGACGTCTCAAGACGAGACAAGGTCAAAAAAGCTCAAGACAATCAAATGTATAACACTGAGTGAAATGACTCACATCATAGTTTAATAGACAATTTAGCTTTTAATAAACATTAATGTACTGTATTTGTAGATTATAATATAAAATATGGTGTTCTATTTGGGCCAAAAATGCAAATTTTTGAAAATTGAAAAATTGAAAATTGAAAAATTCTAAATATAGTAATTTTAATTACGAAAAATTGAAAATTGAAAAATTCTAAATATAGTAATTTAATTACCAAATATAAAGCGTAGGTAATACAGGTCACATGACTTTAACTTTGTGTCACCCAATACATGCTCGTGGGAAAGCCAAATTTCGAATGTCGCGTGACTATTATAGGGAACGGCTAAAGCCCGGTGCGTTCATATGTTTTTGATTATTTAATTAAAATTAGGGTAAGGGTTAGTTAGGAGTTAGGGTTGGAGCAGTTCTTATAAGTAAAATCATCTTCCTGGTATTTTTTATTAATGCTTCAAGATAGGTTTAGACCCTCATTTCTTGTATTTTCGGCGTTTTTCACTTTTTTTCTTTGTTTTTGTCTCGCCGGGCTGATCCGGGTTTATCAAAATTTATATTTTGATTGGCTGTTAGTCACGTGAACGCACCTGGCTTTAAACGGTCCCCTATTATATATATTTGGCAATTAAACCTTTCTAAATATAGTAATTTAATTGCCAAATATATATAGCAGTCACATGACATTCGAAATTTGGCTTTCCCATGAGCATGTTCTGGGTGACCAAAATTTAAAGTCACGTGACTTGCATAACCTGCACTTTATATTTGGTATTTAAATTACTATATTTAGAAGTTTAAAATTTTTTCAATTTTCAAATTTTCAAAATTTTCAATTTTCAAATTTTCAAATTTTTCAATTTTCGAATTTTCAAATTTTCGAATTTTTCAATTTTCGAATTTTCAATTTTCAAAAAAATTGCACTTTTGGCCCAAATGGAACACCGTAATAAGATGTATCCTTTGTAGAAGTGCTTACTGTATATCTAGTTTTCATAGGTACGGCATGGTTGGCAATGGAGCGGTGAATGGAGTCAATGGATACTAGTTTATTGGGCTCAATTCGGTATAACCACAGATTCCATCGCCAACCCTGTAGGTACGATACCAAAGCCTACTTTATTTAATGTGTTTGATTACATGCAGCAAAATTTACATTTATTATGATTTATAATATTGTATACACAATTTGTAATTTTATAACCAAAATTTTTGAAAAACCCTGCAGCTGATCAAAACGTGTATAATACATTAGCAATAAAAATATATACCTTGTTAGTATTATCGTTATAATTCTGTAATTTATTTCGTCTATATATTTGGTTAACATTAAAATTACTGCATGCGACTTTTAACATAATTCTTTATGGCATAATCCGCAATGTCGTATCGCAGCATCATTAAAATGGAATAGGTTAGTTCGAAATTATAGTCTTGGCATGAATTAGAATTATCCAATAATTTTGTTATATTGATCGACGGATCACAAAGATAATCAAATCTGCAATTACTGGATTAGGTAAAAAGATCCGGAAAAACAATATCGATATGCAGTAAAATCGCTAAGTAACGTTCAGGGGCAACTCAGACAATCGCTTCGTAGACACCACATTTCACTGACAATTACTTACCGACAAGTTCATTTCACTGACAGTTTATTTCATCGAAGCTAATTTTACAGACAAAGTAATTCTGGTCAATATCATTAGGGTCAGGTTAGAATTAGAGATAAAGCTAGTGTAATTTATAAAAAAAAAAAACTTGTCAGTGAGATGAGCTTCGGTGAAATAAACTGGGGTCTTCGCCTTGAAAATGACCTTACAAACTATGTAGATTTCATTGATAAAAATTAAAATTTTTAGCTATTCAGTAATCCAATTTAAATAACCTTTTTTTATTTTATTTTATAGAGCTTAGTGAGTTCTACATTATTAAAAAAAAAATTATTTGAATTGAATTACTAGATGGCTAGAAATTTTACATAGACCCGTAAGGTCATTTTCAAGGCAAAGACCCCAACTGTCGGTAAAAATGAACTTGTCGGTGAATAATTGTCGACGAAACGTGATGTCTATAAAGTGATTTTCGGTGAAATAAGGCAGATCCCATATTTTTGAATTTCGGGTCATTATTTGCGGTTTTACGGTTTTGATAGTCAAGAAATTGGATTTAATTATTCGTTTAATTTTAAAAATAGCAGTGATCAAGTAAAAAAACAATGCTTTAAAGGATTGTCACGGGGTTAAGCGATACCATCAGTATAGCACCGAAATCTAACTAAATATGGATCTATCGAACACTGGCTTGTTTATTATCTTCGTTTGATAACAGTAGATATAATAACGGCAAAGTTAAGTATTATTCTCTTTATTCATTTGTACTTTTCATGCGCAAGATTCTAACTAAGAACCAATTTCTTTAATCTTACATTTCTTATTTATATCTATATATTATGCAATTACATTATTTAATTGTCATTACAATAATGACGCTATTATTGGTTTCATAGTTAGCATTAATTTAGCTTTGAGCATAGTTAATTTGACTTTTGATCGTCACCGTCATTCACGTGACGTATATTAATTCGAAATAGTGAAAATTTTGCAAAATTGGTAAGAGATATCATGTCGGGGATAATATAATGTAAAATATATTAATGAAAACTTAAAGTTCTTTATGCTTTATTAGGGTTCAAAAAAATTTAAAAGATTTCAATAATCTTGTAATTGGATAGTTATTTAATTAACTTTATTTTAAACTGTACAAAATTGAATAAATTAAAATTTATCTATTTTTAGCTAAACTTTTTTTTTATAAATAACAAGAGAATCAAATAACTTTTGCAAAATCTTATTAATACAACAAAAAATACATCTCTTCCTTTTATATCAATCAAATGCTAATATTAATGATGGGTGATGAATCTGATAAAGCCTGACAAAACCTTGATTTTGTCAAAGTTTTTGTCAGGTTAAGTGAGTCCAAAAATAGTGAATTCTACTGTGAAAATTCTACGGACAGTACTTAGGGACAATGACCCTAACGTCATTTGTAAAAAGTGGTAGCCAGATAAACCTGCCGCTTACCTGGATTTCAGATCCGCTTATAAAGCAATAAATCATTTATCCTTTTTACCATTACTATGTTTATTAGTATTTCACAAAAAGGATCCAAATGGATCCAGTATTTTTAATGGGCATTAATGTATTATTTCATTATGGGTACCAGAACTGAAATTGTATGTATTTTCACAGAGTAATTCGTACGTTTAATAATCTATATTCTAAAACATAGACTTTTATGACAAAAGGCAACTTGCCAGAAGCGTGAATTTGGTGATTTGGTTAATTATAATATAATGAATTATTATCGGGTTAGTGATATTATGTGCCTCTTTCTCGCACATAAGTGTCATAACCAACCTTAACTAAGCTACATCCTTTTTATAACTTTAAAGAACTAATAAGGCTTAAACAAATCTTACCTTATTATATAGTGGCTTAATGTCTATCAGCTAAGATAGATCACAGATTGTCAAGACTTCAGCTTTAAATTATAAACTTAATTGACTATGATGTCAATCTAGCCCATAACATTCACCCAGACTTATTTTATGTGTACCACATATAAATATCTAATTTTAAACCTAAAATATATTATATAAATAAATAAATAATAATAATAATAAAATAATAACCATACAACAAAAAAATTCTTATTCCAATATATCATTCTCTTGAAAGACTATCTATATTCTATATGAGATTAGTACTCTAGAAAGGTTAACTCCCTTCAGCTGGTTTTAAATTCAGGTTACTCTGCTATCAGAGCAATATTCTAACTAGTTGTCTACATCAGAATGATTACCAAATTTTGAAAATTGACTCTTTAAAAAGATTATTCGTATAACTTAATTATCTAATTGTAGATTTTTTTTTCTTGTAACTTAAACTTTAATTAATTGTTTAATTATCATCATAAAGAAATATTGATCTAATAAAACTTAAAAAAAATCTTTTTCAAAAAAAAAATCAGTAACAATATGCTTTGCACACAGAAAGAAAATGCCAAGAAACACTATAAATTAAAATAATAGATAATAATAATACTAATATGAATTTTTATTCTTATAGCAAAAATTTAAATACGAGAAAGCAAAGAAATGTTGTTGATAAAGTTAATGATGTAGCAGAGAACTGGTAATAATAATTATTATAAATAAATAATTAAATAAAATTCTAAAATTAATTTAATATTTTAGATTAATAAAGTAATATTAGAGGAAGAAGAAAAAGTCAAAAGTTGGAAGTAAAAAATGAAATATTACAAGAAAAATTAAAATGAGAAAAAAGAATTTGGAGAAAACTTAAAGAAGATGGCAGTGTATAATTTAAAAGTTGAAGAAGAGAGATATAAGAAAGAAAAAAAAAATTTCAAATAGTGTTTACAGTATTAAGAAATGATATAAAAGAGTATTTAGGAATA